TATTATCCAACCACATGAGTCTTGCGGAATAATCAGGACAAAGCAGATAACATATAATCAGGGTGTGGGCCAGGTGATGCCCCTTAATTCAACTCCTGAAGATGCCCGCGGTAGTGCATGGCAAAAGTGCAAGTGAAAGAAATGCTCATCTCACGACTAAACCCTGAAGGCCATGCATGAATTATGAGTGGCTGTGAAAATCTACACGTGAAACTGGTTTCACAAAACTTTACCTGTATTCACAAAATTTTACCTGCATTCAAGTTGTGTCTGTTTATGAAACAAAATATATATTCACGCTGAACACCGACTTTTACATTTGTAACATAAAATGTGTATTTGATACATTCGGATTAATTTTAGAAATGTAATGCCAGTTCCATAATGTGAAAAATGTGTGTTTTGTGATGTATATGCAGTAGGACACTGTTGAAAAAAGGAGTTTAACTGAATTAATAGCCTGACATTTTATCAATATTAAACGTTTCTCATAATCTATATTATTAGAATTCACTGTTGATACAGCATAAATATAAAGGGTCTGCTTCGTAGCCAAAAGGAAAATGACATTTAGGCACAATCAACCAAAAGGTTCCTTGGACCAACATTTTCCAGGAGCATTTGTTTAAGAAGGCAAGCCCTGAATTCATTATTATATTACAAGGCTCTTCAGAAAAAAATATGGCTTGCTAGACAAATGCTTCTGTTATTAAAACAGCTGTGAAAAAGTGCTTCATAGATCATCAGATTCCTCGAGTATAAATACAGATTCTTATTCTAAAGAAGATCCAACAACAAAAACACCCGTGTGAGCATAAAATATGCCAAAGAATCCCCCAGATAGTGCATAGACTCTCGGTGGATGTGCTGCTGTTAAAGCCTGCATATTGGTGGTGCAGCCAGCAGCACGCATGTCTATCCAGTGCCGGTATTTATACTGCAGCTGGTACTCCTTTGAGGGCGAGCCAACCTCGCGGAGGCCCAGGACACGTTCCGATACCATTTGACACAGATGTCATCCATGGCGAGGAATCTAACTCAGGTCAATGGGTTCGTAGTGCGATCTGCAAATCACTCTGTTGTCTCTGCACCCCCCCCCCCCCCACTCTTTCTGTCTCATATACTATACTCATCAAATACACAACTACACACAAACACACATTTCTACATGATAACAGCATAGAGTTACTGGGCAGATACATAATGATACAAATAAGGATGCTCATCATAATATATCCTGACACACAACAAATTACAGCTGTTGTCAACAAAAGGAGTCCAACTTGAATTTAAAACTTCAGAGAACGAGGCAATAAAACAAAGCACAGCCTGTACACAATTTACCACAGCCCTTTGTTGCTACCACACACACTGTGATGAATACTAGTCATTTTACAACTTCCCCAAGAAATAAAATATTCAGCCCACATCGAGGTCTCAAGATATTGCCATCCATTTGCACTGAAAATTAAACTTATGCTCATTTGAACATAAAATTAAACGCCGTGTCATGCATCAGACACACATTAAGACCTTTAGCTTTTATTTTCACTGGGGAAAAAAGTTAAGATTTGGAATCCGTCATTAATCCTCATGTTTTAAAGAACTGGATTTTGCGTAACAGTCGTAATCATTGCACTGAGCGCATTACATTGTGGCTGTATATTATCTCTCGGCCTTAATGGCTTAGAGTTTGTGACCTGTCGCTTGTAAATTTTCCATTCTTGGATTCAAGGCCAGGACCTATGAGACCGAGGCTGAGCCACAAGGCCAAGCCAAGGTCAAAGCCAGGAGTCTTTTAGATTAAGGTCAGTGTCAAGGCCAGTCAAGGCTGCATCCTCTAGGCTGAGGCCAGTGCCAAGGCCAGGACCTCGAAGCCAAGTTCTTGGACCGAGGCCACACACCCGAGGATAGGGGTCAAGGACAAGACCTAAGGAAATGTCCTGAAGCTGGCATTGAGGGCGAGGGCTGGTCTTGAGGACCCAAGACTGCAATTTTACGACACCAACATGCGAAACAGTGGCTTAAAGTTATAATTCCCAAACTACATCAACTCGAAATGTTTGAAAACTAGTAAAGTATGGCTCCTTTCATTTAGTCAACATAACATAAGTAAATCAGCATCACGAAGCTGCCTGTTTTACTACGACTACAAGTTTTTGTTTGCAAGTGGAAGAACTGCTGCTATTGTTCACTGTTTAGTCTCACTTGACTCTCTATGGAACTATATTAAGCATTTCAATATATTCTGAATCACTACGATTTCAAAGAATAAAATATATACAGTAACACCTCCATATTCGAGGTAAATGCGTTTCTGGAGCTTCGTTCGTATGTTTAAAACTTCGTATACTGAATATGTTATGACATTTGTACTATGAGGATGCGTTCCCAGCCTTCGTAACTTATTATTTCATACTATAAACACTTCATAGCTTAGCATTCATATTATAATAAAAATAATTTGTATTGAAAATAAAATTACATGTTATGGTGTACAGTATGAAAATAAAACATTGACTTAAATAGAATAAATATCTTGAAGGGACAATTTAATTAGCATTTATATAGTACCAAAGATTGATAAATGTAATGTTTTAGTGATTTGATTTATTATCTTAGTAAATTTTTTATTACCATTCAAATAATGGTAACCATTAAAATAATGGTAATCAATCCAAAGTTTGTTGTACTGAAACCTCGCATGTCGAATATTCTCACAAGGAAGTATTACTTTTCTTCAATGTGAATAACTTCCAAGAAAATCCAGGCCACCACATTTGTAGCTGGAGCACCACCTGCTGTAATAATACTGCATCGTCTGGAAACTCGAAATGATATGCCCATGACAGGATGTTGGAGAAGTGTGAATGCACAAGCGAGAAGAACGGGGAAGATTAATCCAGAAATACGCGATTGCCCATTCTCACTGTGTGCCATAGCAGCAAATGTGTTGAGCTCAACTCGGGAGTCATCGTCATTCTGGTGGTCCTCCCTATATTTAGTTCCTCTCATATAGAGAAATAGATTTGATGGGGGCGGGCGGGGTTATTTTCTTTCATATTTGGATCCAAATCTCCTTCATCCACACGTTACAGACATAAGTTTTATATCAAATGGAAGCTATTAATCTTTGAATGTCACCTGCGGGAATGCAAACTATTCACGAGTGTCTTCTTGGTTCTTTCGGTAAAGTCACGTAGAAGGGAAATAATAAAGTAATACAAATAAAACATTATAAAATAATTCTCACGACGTTTCGGCCACAACGCAAGCAGCCGTCCTCAGGTGAAGAACGGGTCTGTCGCAAAGACAGCGTCTATTCACGAGTGTTTGTCTGTTACCAAATATTTCAAAATTACTCGAAAGCCAGAGAGAGCGCCGCCTACTGGTGGGGCACGGGAAGCGATCGGCACGCGGCGGTGAGTCGTCGGCCACCGTGCACGATGGGAAGATACCCGAGTGTGTGCATCGCAATAAGAACAACTTGGACAAATAACGACGGTTAGGGTCAGACAATGAAGATAAGTGTATAAATTTCGATTTAAAGCTTTCGTGACTGCAGGGATTCATCTTCTTGGTTCTTTCGGTAAAGTCACGTAGAATGGAAATAATAAAATAATAAAATAAAACATAATAAAATAATTCTCAGAATTATTTTATTAAAAAGAAAACATAATAAAAGAATTCTCAGAATTATTGTATTATTTTATTTTTATTATTTTATTATTTCCATTCTACGTGACTTTACCGAAAGAACCAAGAAGAAGATAAGTGTACTGTGGGTCGTTTCAAATTGCCCAATCCGCATTTATTTATTTATTGTGCAGTGACCCTGCGTGTCACAAAACACGGCACAGGCAAAACAATTAAGATAGGGTGCAGCAATTAAGCGATTAGAATTCAAAGAAAAATAAACTGTCACAGTGAAGATCCCGAGGCTCAAACTGGCAAACTAGAACAACGTAAAAGAGGATCCTATGGGTAGCAGGAGAGAATCTCCCTGCTGCCCTTCACAGCTCCCTTTGTAGTCTTTACAAACATTGCTGTATCCCGTGTTGGTTTACATGATAGTACAGTAAAACCTTGGATTGCGAGCATAATTCGTTCCGGAAACGTGTTTGTAATCCAAAGCACTCGTATATCAAAGCATTCGTATATCAGTTGTGATCACGTGACGCTCGGCAGACAAAGCGTGTCCGTACTTCTCGTATTGTAAGACCTCGCTCGTTTATCAAATTTATACTTATTTAAAAATTTTGCTCGTCTTGCAAAACACTCGCAGACCAAGTTACTCGCAATCCAAGATTTTACTGTACAATAGTCAACCTATATCTGCTTAATTTTCCTGAAGCCTAGATTTGTAATTAGTCCTATGATCAGTCAGGAGACAATCCACCTAATCCACTTTCACTGCAGCGAACTTCATATTTACCTTGATTAACATTGATTTGTGTTTATGTAATATTTCAGATTCCTTGCGTTATACGGTAGTTTTATTTTTATTTATTTTAGGTTTGTTCTGATTGCTGTTTACTTCATTGCTGTACATTTGTTTGACTTCCCACCTGGTGCATCATAAAAATAAACTTGAAAACGTAAACACCAGGACACACGTCAATGGCAGCAAAGCCAGAGTTGGGATAATAGTCAAGTCCTACCATGTAAGGGTGCGTGAAGGAGGCATGCAGACGCCATGGAATAATGATCGTGATTAGAAGGGCAACACCTCATATAATCAAAGGTGAACACCTACAGACACTCAAAATCTTAAAATAAGGCTGGGGATTCAAGAAATAGTAAAAAATGTCAAGGCATCATGCACAAGCAGGCATAGTCAGGTGCTAATCTCTGTTGGTGGTAGAGTCTGTGGCTGAAATCCTACATTCCTAAGGCAGGGAGGGGGCCAGTCTATCCATACGACAAGGAATATGCCAGAATAAGAGCTGCCGTGAAAATGTGTGCGCATGTGACGATGTGTGGTAGAGGGTGGGACTTGCCACGCCGATGGAGAAGTAGTTGTTGATGATGGAGTAAGGTACAGGGTCGCCCTTTTCGTCGAGATCCGTGGCAACGACCTCGATACTCCAGCGGTCCAGCATGAGCGGAGTGCTGTTCTCCACGTCCTTCAGGGTCTTGCGCAGGCTGCCGCCCTCATAACCTGAAACAGACCAACATCTTAAGCCTGCCATCCCTTTGAGGGCGATAAATAAATACCACGTTGTAGGACGTGTAGAGTGGTAACAATGTGCAGATAATGGTCCCTCCACCAGAATTGCGTGAAATTTCCACCATTTGCTACTGATAGAGATAAGTGCCGCCTCATTGCGCTTTGTCTGTAAAAGCAGGGCATTGTGTGCTGTGCCAAAGCCCAATCTCACTCGGCCTGCAACTAAACATAACAGAATTTTAAGAATAATATTCACAGGAGTAGACCGTTCCCACAGTGGTTGTTCGTACACTGAACTATGAACCAAAGGAAACTGAGTTCGATTCCCGCAATGGCCTAACATCATTGGCGAGTGAAATATGAACCAAGTCCTAGATGCCTCCTTCATCAACCTGCACTGACAAACATGGTGAAGTATAGTTAAACACCCCTCGTGATCGACATGGTGTAGAAATCTCCAGCAGAAAGTTAACAAAAGGGCTGTAAATTATTTAATGACTATCAGAATACTCACAACAAACTGTTATTTCAATGGTTAATGAAGTTTGTTGCAGTAGAAATGGTGTATCCCAAATATATGAACATTAATATGTTCAAGGCATTTAGTTAGCATTGGAAATGGATTCGTGCTATTGAGTGCTTAAACACTAAAATGGCATCTCAAAGACCTTTACAATGCAAACAAGAATAAAAAAAACACATTGAGGGAAACAAAGGAACATTTCAAGAGGAATAAGAAACTGAAGAAGAAACCCATTTTTGACATTTTTTGTTGTCCCCCCTGTTCCGCCACCTCCGATTCACACAGTCGGATACGCATGATGCGAACAATGCTCAACATGCATACATAGGGAATGGAATCATGAAAGGCACCTGTACATACACACAACACAGGGTGCCACAGTCCAGAAAACGAATGATGTCTAAGAAAAAGGTCCAATAACAGGTAACGGGACAGGATAGCACAGACACCATATTAATACTCTTAGTTCTTTCGGTAAAGTCACTATGTAGGTAAAAAATGAAATTAAAATTAATAAAAAATAAAATAATAAAATCACGACGTTTCGGAGGCAACACAAGTCTCCGTCATCAGGTGGGACAGTCACAGCCAGATTGGCTGCATTAGAAAATCTGGCTGTGATGCAGCAAATCTGGCTGTGACGGTCCCACCTGATGACGGAGACTTGTGTTGCCTCCGAAACGTCGTGATTTTTATTATTTTATTTTTTATTAATTTTAATTTCATTGTTACCTACGTGACTTTACCGAAAGAACTAAGAGTATTAATCCTTGCAGTCACGAAAGCTTCAAATCTAGAACCATATTAATAGATTACAGTGCATGTAGGTTTTGTCAATGTGAGCATTGGAGGACCGTCGCTTACCACCACCCCAGTGCAGACACCGAGCCAGATCATTCCCTGTGCCAAGAGGAAGGACTGCTACAGGTGGACGCTTTGGCAGAGAGAGTTTGTCTGGAAAAAAAGTGGTGTCAGTACAGATATAACTCATCCACTACATCGAACGCTATTTTGACAAAGTTGTCATAATGACGTATGATTCTGCAGTGCCGATAGGAAATTCATTCATTTGTTACGTACCGATGCAGTCCAAAACCCAGCCCACAGTGCCGTCCCACCGCAAGTGAGCACTCGGAAATCGGGGACGTCACGAAAGAAGTTCAATCTGTCAAAAAATTTGCATAAATTAAGGGACGATCTCACATACAATGCACTGTATAGTCAGTCAATATAAGCATAGCTGCTCCATGTGTATGCTAGGCTGTAGCCAAGGCTACATATGCACGGAGCTCCTCAGTATATGTTCGAGGCTTTACATTTAAAGTTTCTGTGTGTGTAGCTTGGGCTTGTGTTTGCTCTGTGCATCCCAGCCATGCATTGGCACGGGTAAGAGCCAAGCCCAGGCCAGCCTCCACTAGGCCATTCATGCCCCACACGCCCTCCCGTCTTGCCTGAAACACACATCAGGAATCATGCTGGGAATCAGGCAAATTCTATTTCAAGGATATTCCGATCAATTACCGGTCGGCAGGTATTGCAGTCAATTCCAGCAGACCGGCAGCACCAAACGTATTTAAAATATATGGCAGATACTTAGGTAATACGTTTATTGGCTAGTATCAACACCAATACCCGTCCAGCCAATATCACCACAATGGCCATTGAAACATTACATAGGCATCGCCATGAATTTCCATCGTGATTTCAATAGGCCCTCCAGGTGCCAAGGGCCCACCCTTCTTGCCTGAATATCATGCTGGACTCCCCACAGCCTGGTCCCTCACAGCGATTCCATAATGCAGCCAATCCCCCATCCCAGAGACAATTGTATTTGATACTAAGATTGGGCTGGCGACTCCAGGCTAGAAATTATGAGAATCATCCAACTATAGTTTTTACCATCGTGTGTCATACCAGCAGCTTAGTAACAGAACTAGGCCCATTAGTATGAAGACTAAATGCCACTAAATTAAGGAAAACATTACACGATGTGTTAATTTGTCAAAAGTATATGTGAGTCTACCACATGCAAGAAATGAAGAGCTATGTTCTCATGAAATGGCTTTAACGATATGGGTCACATCTGCAAAATGTTTCTTATAGACCAGTGGCTGAACAGTGAGTGCTCTATCATTGGTTCATGTCTTGATGGAATGCAAG